CTTGATAATGTGTTAATCGTTCGATTATTGGGAAGAATCATTAGAAGAATAGTTCATGAGTCGAACGTTTTGCTTCGTCGAACACAGGTAATCCTATTAACAGGTGTGAGGTCGTATACGAGAGAAGACAACATTGATTCTCCTCAGATACCTTCTTACCTGCTATTAACTGGCCTTTTTTCCATTCAAGATGCTCATGCACCGAGACGAGCAAGTACTCGATTTCAAAAGACAGGTGATACTATGTTTCGATATACTTCGATGATCATTGAGTCAACCGTGAACGAAAGGCACGTGCCATAATCGTCTCATCTTGTAGCAAATCATCCAAGGAAATCAATGTAAAGTCTAAACACATAAACAATTAAAAATTAATTAAAAGACTCATTCGAACATGGTGTGTTTTTAAATGTATGATAAATTTTATTTAGAACTTTTTAATTATATAGATTACACAAATATTTTTAGTAGGTTTAATAATTTGTAATTATATATATATTTGAAATGATATTACACGTGCAATTAAATACGATAAGATTTTATCCTATGTCCAACAGTATGAGAGAGAAAGAAAGCGAGAATATAAGTGAAGAATATAAAAAAAATAAACGCTCGAGTGACCCTTAATAACGATACAGCTGAATACTCGTGGTGGTTTCGCCGAATCCTCTCGACGATCCTGGCGGTCGTCTTTGATATCAGGCCCTCCAACGAATTAAGGTTCACCTGTCTGACCTCTTCGTGGTCGAAACACTACAACACTATTTTTTCTTATTCTTGTCCGACAAAAAATCTCTAAGTGTAAAAGTCTCGTAAGTTAGAACGATGCAGGAGCGTACCGGGACACGCGAGGTGCTTGTTTTTGCATGGGAGTTGGAAAAAAATTAAATGAGTTCTTTAGTATCTTTCAAGGATGATACTAAACGTCTTTCGAAATTGGATTTTTACAAACTAGATAGGTATAATGAAATGTTTTTACCTATGACGAATTATTTCTAAGAAAAATATTTTAATGTTAAAATTACAATTTAAGAATTATTATTAAATGTGAATTGAAGATAACCTAAATACATCAGATTTAAAATAATTCATTTTTCAATAGTCAGTCTTAGAAAGTAATTCAAGTCCTCTCATAATTTGTCCAGGTAATATCAAGAAAGTCATGATGAAGATTTAAAGACAACCGAAATGGGATTTCAGATGGTTTAAGTAAAATGGTGGTCAGTCTGAAGGGTGCAAGGTCTAAGAGGGTAGTCGCTTCCTGTTAGAACATTTCCTGCTTTCGTGGAAATTTACTCTTAACCGGACCGGAAGTTTACTTCGAGCAGAACGCCACTATTCAGGTTTAAATTTACCGCCCAATATATTCTCGCGAACACGCGAAAGGATCTCTCTCTCTCTCTCTCTCTCTCTCTCTCTCTCTCTCTTTCTCTCTCCCTCTTTTGTTTCATTGTCTCTTATCTTCAACGTTATTGTTTCGAAGATCATGTGAATGGTCATTGCTGTAACAGTAGTAGTTAGTTAAAGATGAGACAGAACTAACTTTGGGACAATTTACCAAGAAGTTACACTTCCGGTTAAAATATTTATTTAAATCTTCGGAGTTTCTCAGAAATCATTTTGTATGACGAGAAGATCTAGTAAAAGCATAAATATTTTCAAAATAAGAATAGAGGTAAGATATTAATCATCGAGCAATTTAAAAATCACTTTGTGCTTCAAACATTTCATTTAGAATTGTTAATCAACTTGCATTCATTTGATTGATCATTTCAAATGATAAGGAAGAAATAAAAATGTAAATGGAAAAAAGTTATGAATAATCTATTGACAATCACTTTCGATTTTCTTCCGAGTGTCTTTTCTTATTAATAGTTCAAACTCTAATAAGCTGAGACGAAATGATGAGAGAAAAACGTTCAAATAATCGACGTTTACTCAACAATCTCTCTTATGGTTTTAGAGAAAGATTATTTTTATTAAAAGAAAAAGTATTTTTGAGTGTTAAACTGAGATCGTGAAAGTATCGTAGAGACATTCGTTCTAAACTTTCTTTCGTTCTCCTTCGTGAGAACGTTTCAATCTAATAAATTCAAGAAGAAAATCATCGACGTTCTCACAGCCTTGCAAAGATATTGAAATGATTCTATGGTTTCCGTGTGATTTGTTGACCGCAAAACGTGAAACCGGACTATGGTGTGCTTATATAAACGACGATGGGAGTCTACACCTTTTTTTTGTCAAGTATCCCATTTCTATCTTGTTTTTTTCTTAAGTTATAAATAAAAATAGGATTGAAGAATCATTGCTAGTATAATAATTTATAAATGTAAATTGTATATATATGTAATTAATTATATGCAAAATAATATAATATATTAATATATAATAATTAATTAATATATATTAATTAAATATAATATGTTATATTAAATTAATTGTAAAGAAAGAGAAAGAAAAAAAATAAGTAGGCATGTGTGAACGCAGCTTAAAGATAAAGTTTGCGGGCGGTTCGATCTATGAATGGAAATTGCGCGTGGCGCTTCAACGGAGTGCGTGCGTACGTTTTACGAGTCAGCCGATTCATGTGGTGGGGATAGTAGCGTGTAGAACAGCGTGGGTGACTGCACACCGTCATGTGCATTAGTAAAGAACAGTACGGGAGCAACGTAGGCGGAGTCGATTGAGAGAGGAAACTTTGGAGACTCGCACATGCGCTCTATTAAGGTACCTCCCACAACGAATCGACTTAACGCGCGCGCTTATAAACCATGTTTCTTATATACTTTTTTTCTTTTTTTTATTATTTCTATTATTTTTTTTTTATAATATTAATATTGATATTTTTCTATCATAATTATTAACAACATTTCATTTCTTACATTTTAATATTTTATGCCAATTATTAATTGAAACAAATAATAAATTCAATTTAATATGAAATTTACATTTGGTATAAATATTTTTTATTAATAAATAAATATTGAATTTAACCGCAATATAAAAATTAAACGAATTAGATTAAAACCATTGCGAGTGAATAATATAAAAATAAGATTATACATTTTACATTAAGTTTTTCTGAATTTGTACTTTTACATCGATCACGAGATAAATTTGTAACAAAAAAATTATAACAAATCGAAAGTCACGCAATCATAAAGATGCATCTGATGGGAGTCATCTCAGAACAGCTCTCTGTAAAATCGACATCTCTCGTTTTTGTCCGGATGGTTTCGCTTCGATGCGATTGCTGCTTTGAGATCGATCAAACTCGTTTGCATGATCCGCTCCACTTCGAATATCGATCGGATCTCGATATTGGCTACACGAATTACACAAATCATTTAATCGTTTTTCTTTCACACATACACACACACATACGCATATATATATATATATATATATATACACAAATATTTCTATTGAAAAAATAAAAAAAAGTATACAAGTAATTAGCGCCCATGTTTCCAACAAAGTAAAAGTATTCGTGAAAAAGTGAGATTGAATAGTTTAAAAGAAAATAAAAAAAGACCACCTAAAGTCACGATCGCAATAAGATAAATAATCACGATGGGTGGGCCGTACGTGAACGGCAACGTCTTGGCACGGGTTAGAGTGACATACCTATGGGGGCTACCAACTATACTCTATAGGGAGTCATACGGTAAATTCAAACTTTTCTGTTGTGCTTTCATAAGGTGGTACAGAACTCCAACCGTGTGTGAGAATCCATTCCACACGATTTCACAGGAAATGACAGGGGGTCCACTTAGGATTTTTGCCTTACTCTTAAACACACATTATACTCGCGAGACAAATTTCGTTTCTCCTGCCAGAACCAGCTAAGATGCTCGTTGAAATTCCCGCTGTTTAATTCTCAAAGGGGGCAAAATGTGTGAAAAATCTATTTCAAGTTCTGTTGTTATTTTATTGATAGCAAAATAAACGGATAATTTGAATCAAGTTATACATCGAGTTGATAATCGTACTCAATTTTTTGATTAACTTAATCCTAAGAAATTATGTTCGCTGTCGGCAAAGGGTCATCGTTAACGGTATTTCGTTGTGGTTCAACACTTTCATAGAAAAAAAAGGAACGTTCGATTCCTTTGTCAAATTAGTTTCGGTTATCGAGAAGACTACAGCGTGCAAAAGTACGTCAAACTCACAATCCGATTGAGTCGGGGTTCCACCATTTGCAGAATTCGTTGTAAAAAGTATTAACTTATAATATTTATTACAAAAATTTTCAACTATCATTCAATTATATTTATCTATTTTTAATTATATATCAGATGTTTTTATAGAAAATGTAACATTTTCATAATAATTCCAAAGTATAATTAATATAAAAAATTGGAAATGATTGTTTAATACATTTAATTGTATATAGAAAAAAAATAAATAGGTATTAATCATTAAAACCGTTCATCAAAGGTCAAAAAGGTGGCAGTGGTAGAGAGAGAGAGAGAGAGAGAGAGAGAAAGAAAGAGAGAGAGAGAGAAAGAGAGAGAGAGAAGCAACCCAGAAGGTGGGTGTACTCGTTAGTATGTGAGAGCCCGCCTCCCGTCCAATACGATTGTCGGTTTCCCAGGGGACTCCCTGACGTCTCTCAGGCGGCTTTTCAGCTCCCTTCTCCTTCTCTCTCTCTCTCTCTCTCTCTCTCTCTCTCTCTCATATAACTTGCCGTGTCGCTCGCATCGCTGCCTCGCGCGATAATAGTCACCGTTCTTCTTCGTGGCACGCGTTAGTGATACTCGTCAGTGTAGCATACACCAGTCACACCGAGAAGATCGTCTTCAAAGTTTTCCATAGATCCTTCAGATTGATCGATATATATACATATATATATATATATATATATCTTCAAAACATCGAACCTTTCGAAACTTTTAAAAAAAAAAAAAACTTTTTTCGGTAGATCATTTACATTACATTATATATATATGTATGTATCTATATATTTATATATAATTCATAAATACCAAGTGTTGATTTTATTAATTACATTGAAAGATTATTTAAGAATGATTAGAAGAATCAGAGAGATCGTTATATATCCGAACGAATTTACTTGAATGAGTTCACATCCCATTCGACCTTTCATCATAATATGGATTTTGATCTATTATGATTTAGAGAAGTCATAGTACAAATTTCTATTGGTAGCGGTTTAATACCTATACATGATAATATTTATGTAGATAAATTAAAGGATTTATAAAAACGAGTTTATTCCAAGTGGCCGACGGGATCGATAAACGATTTTTCATCGCGTAAACGATTGTTTGTTTGTTTTTTCCATCACCACGTATTTGAATGGATAATAAGAATTAACATTATTATATTTTCTAAATTGTGAAATTGACGAAGGATTTGAAAACTTCAAAGTGATCTTTATGCAAGGTGTTATTTAAAAAAAAAAAGAAAAAAAAATCAAACCAATTCCAACGAACATTAAGTACAAACACACATAAATATATACATATTTATTTGTTTTTCATTGACTTTATTATCATTGGGTAAGAAAGATTAACTCTATCTAAACGCAAGCGTCCGTTAACGCGTCTCTTTGTGTAATACGATCTCGCGATGTGGAAGCTTCGAATTTCCACGTGTTTTGGAAGCTCATCTTCAAAGTGACTTTCTTAACTTCAAAAACGAGAGATCATATTTTTTCATTTTCTTTTCATTTCGAAGAGGTTATCAGATGGTAAACCTATGTGGAATGGTGAATCGCGATAAACAAATTTGAAATACTTCAAGATGCTGTTCAAGGGCAATAGTTCAAGATTGGAATTACTTATTGGGAAGATTCAGGCACATAAAGAACCTTCGCAGGAAGAGCCTCATAAAACTAAAGGTTTGACAATAATAATAATAATAATAATAATAATAATAATAATAATAATAATAATAATAATAATAATAATAATATGATTATATAATGTTGTATAAGTATATTTTAAGTTTTAAGTAATATTTTCGTTTTGTATAAATTTCGAATGATTTAACTAAGAACACGTTTTAACAAATTAAGAACGTAATGAGAAAGATATTCTACTTAGTCTTCAAAATTTGTACTTTCCGCTAGGATGCATTTAACGTCTTATCGAACGGATAAATCTCACTTTCACTTCCGACTTTCCTAAAATAAAAAAAAAGTTCTCGTTCTAATCGATGACATTGCAAGAAACGATATACATAATCTAGAATAAATAGCATAATGATTTTTACCGTTCTGATAGATTCTAGTACGATATAAGGAAAAAATCGTTAACGTTAATGAAAATTATGCTTAACGACTATCGTGTAAAGTTACTTCTTCAATCTGTGTTGCGCATGCGTTAATAGATTCGCATAAGTCACAATTAATTAAATTCGCATCAAACATAAACTCGATTGAGGCACCTATAAATAGCACTCGTCGTTGGTAGCCACACGAGCAAACGGTCATTAAACGTACTATAATTCGTCGTTACTACTCTGTGTCAGTGGCCATTCGAGAATCATTGACAATGAACTTTTAATAGCTTTCGAAGAGACAGAAAGAAACTTTTATAATAACGTTTAGAATAAATTCCATGTTACAAATACAGCAATAGTATTTCACAATAGGTTTCTTTTAAGAAATTCATTTGTAGAAAGATTTGAAATAGCATTGGGAAATTATTCTAATGTACGGCACTATGTTAACGTTATAGAAAATCTGAGCAAAGCATTTCGTATCATGTGATTCGCGTACATAAGTCACAATTAACGAAGGCGTTAAGTCGTGGCCCTATTAATAAGAGTCGTCGAAATGTCTTATAAATAGTTGAGACATGAGGTGACAGCACAATATACCTATAGAACATATACGTATACTCAAAGCATAAGATAAGGAAGAAAGAGATAGAAAATCTCAAGTACATGGAACATACAACGCAATACGGCTGGCATCGGCAGATCAGCAGAAAAGAGCTGCCAGTGTTAAGTGCGCCTATTTTCGCGTCGATGACACATCAGAGCTGATTGGATAGAATCGCTCGCTAAATAAAACCTCTCGAAAGTATTGAGGAAGAAGAAGAAGAAAAAAAACAAAGAAGTAGTAGAAGAAGATAGAAAGATCCTAACGGTGTGATCCATCCCTCACCACCCTTCTCTCCTTCTTCTTTTCTCTCATATCCTTCTTCATGTTCTTCCTTTGATCATTGCTCTATCTGATCTTTGTGGCATAGCGTAGCGATCGGTGAAACGAGAAATCGCCACCTGGGTGCGCGTAACTCGCGTTCCTTCAGCTCGGTTTATATTTATTTCCAGATACGTTCCCGATGTCTTTGTGAGTGAGTCAGATACGAGATGCCAATTGGGCTAGTGCCTTGGACTTAACGAACGTGTCTCGCCTATTCGAAAGAAAATTTGTTGCACAATCTCTGTACAATATCTCCGAGCCATGATCGATCTCGTGATACTTTTTAGTAAATTCGAAACCTTTGCGATCCTTGAATTTTCAATTGACTATGAGAGGAACGCGTTAAACGATTCTGGTATCAACTGGATCAACTTGCTAAGAAAATGATCTCTCATGGTTAAACAGCTGAGAATCGAATTAGCAAGTATTAAACAAAGTGGCGCCTAAGAGAAGAAGAAAAAGAAGAAGAAGCGAAAAGTAGGATAGATTAATAGCGTGGGTGGGCGGATGAGAGCCATTTGGTCCGGATCCTCTTCTTCCCTTTTCTTCTCCACCGTTTGGGTGGCATTACATGCACTCGCTCGTGTCTCGACACTATGAGCACTGGATTCCGCAAAATCTCTTAAATCGACTCGTGGGTGTCCCGACAAATGAGGAAACGGCCAACTAGCCGAGTCATTTCCATCATTTACAAAGCCTCGTCTACGTATATATGTGAGGACATGTATGAATCGTCCTCATACGGTGGGAGTCTCTCATTGACGATAATTATAAGCGATCCAAATCCAAGATGGCTTCGTTGCAACAAATTTCACCTACGCGAAATCTAGGATCCTAGTACAGAGTTGTCTAGTTAGAGCAAGCAAGCAAAAGAGAGAAAGAGAAAGAGAGAGAAGGGAGGGAGAATATAATTTTATGTACACTGAGTTCAACCAAACAAGATCATCCTAGGAAAAAAAAGAAAATAAATTCAAACCACGTATTAGATAGATAGATAGATATATACAGTAGCTAGATCCGACAAACGCTAAGGTATAGCAAAAGTGTCCTTTCTTTGACTTGTAAGAACCGCAGGATCTTAAAGGATGGTCTTTCTTAGCAAGGCTTGGGTTAATGGTACAAGTTTCACCGCGAGCTCGTTACGAAAACAATATAAAGGGACGTATAACGGCAAGGTAAAGTAACTCGAATATATACGCTTTGAGTTCGTAAGGTCGTTCATGAAACTGGTCTGTCTTACGACACTCGTAAACCTGTTTTGAAAAAAAAATAAAAAGGGATCAGTTGTTGAATGTTATCGCGAAATTTGCTTGAAGACTCGTTCAAACAAATGAAAAATCAATGAAGACATTTCTTTTTTCGTTTTTTCTTTTCTTTTTTTTTTTTTTAAATAAAATCATCGTTGTTGATTTTTCAGAGGCTTTGGGTACCGGAAGTTCCTCTTGGCACAGCGAAGATGGCGGGCCAACTTCACGAAGAGGAAGAGAAACACCATCCTCTTGCGCTACGCCAACTTCTGCCAGCTTTCCGTCGGAGCCCGAAATTGATGGAGAAGTTGGAATTGGTACCGACGGTAACAATCCAACTGCTCCTTATCCTTGTCAGTTCTGTGATAGGACTTTTCCACGATTGAGTTATCTCAAGAAACATGAACAGGTAAATAAAACAACTTTTATAAAACCAAATAATACCGAAACTAATTATTAATAAAACAGTCATTTATATTAGCATTAAATAAAAAGAAAATGAACAGATAGGACAGGACAGGACAGAGACACGTGTCAGTTCGCTTTGTAACTCTTCTATTTTGCATGGCGAAGACATTAGTTCGTTCTTCCGCGTCCGAGTAGAAGGTCATCTTTGGGTCAAAATCTGTATCGTGTCTCATAACAGGTTGTACCGGTTAAGTTCTTCCTCCTGGTTCCTCGTCGTCCAGGTGTGGTATTTTTCTTTTCCCTCTCTCTCTCTCTCTCTCTCTCTCTCTCTCTCTCTCTCTCTCTCTCTCTCTCTTTAGAGTCCTTACAAAAAATGATACAACATGTAAGACGCATGAAATGAACATTGACGAGAGAGCGAGTACGAAAGATTTTCTGAAAAGTCGATTACATCAAGCTTAGCGTCCAATTGGGTGTCTCCTGGATCTTTCCGAATGACGACAAAAAGGAACATTTATAAAGTTTATAAAAAAAAAAAGAGAAAAAAGAAAAAGAACGTACATTGTGCTGCGCTGATCCAAAGTCGTGTCACCCAAGCAGATCGGTATGACCGATATGATCCCACACGGGTTTACTTTTCTCCTTTTCGTTGTTGCTTTCTCCCTTGGACAAAAAAAAGACAGAGATCATCAAGTGTCTGTCTCTCTCTTTCTCTCTCTCTTTCTTCCTGACTGGTCTGTTAAAGAAGAAGAAGAAGAAGAAGGCAAAGGTAAGCTCGGCACGTAGAGGACAACCGCTCGACTTTCGAGCAAGAGATCGTCGTCGGCTCCTTTGAAGAGACAATCTCTCGACGAAGGGTGAAACGATAGCAAGTAGAGAAAGAGAGAGAGAGAAAGACCTCCTTCGATGGCGAGGACGAATCAAGAGCTGATTTTACGCCCAAGGAAAAAAGATCTCTTTCCGGATCGTGGATAGAAAAAAAAGGCGATCCATTGGCAAAATCGATTTTATACAGATCTTAACAATATGCTTTTTTTTATTATTATTATTATTATTATTATTTCTATAGCATAAAGGCTTTTGTCGATAGGATTTTTACCGAGTTACGTTGTGAATACTATTGAAGAAATAAAAAAAAGGAAAGAAAAGGAGAAAAAAAAAGAACATTTTCTTTATACTCTTTCATAGAGATCTATAGATCATTCTCGATTTAAAAAACAAACAAAAAAATAGAAGAAATAATTTGTCTATAACGGATTTTCAACGATGAAACTAATCCAATTTTGTTGAATAATAGAAAACGATTGAAAATCGATATGTTAGATAAAGGTTAGAATCGTTTTAAACGAATAATATTATTGGTGTTAGTTTCAATATAGCCAAAAGGAAAGATAATAATACAGGTTTTAAGTGTAATGAGATCAACACGACTCCTCTGGTCGTTACAGTTTCGCTATGACTTTTCTAATTGCAGAGCCACGGTGACCAAATGCCGTACAGATGCAATTGGTGTGAGAGATTGTTCAAGCATAAGCGGAGCAGAGATCGTCATGTGAAGTTGCACACAGGGGATAGAAGATATCGATGTTCTCATTGTGAAGCAGCCTTTTCTAGGAGGTACGTAATACGAAAACCAATGAAATCTATGCATCGTTGCATTTTTTTCTTCATATCATTACAATTTTACCATTTGACATTAACATGTTTTGCTCGAGTCTTTAGAATTCCTATTATACCTAAAAAAAAAAATAAAAACAGAGAAGTACGATTGATTCTGTTATATAGTCTTATGTTAATTTGCTTGAAAAAACTTGAAGAAAAGTTTAACGGTGAAGTTAGAAGAAATGTAGATGTAAGACCTGAGTTCCCCAAGTGATAGCAAGGGGGGTAGGGGACCGATCCAACGGGCGACAAATGAATAATGATTGTAGGAGTTAGGTAGGAGGGAGGTAGGACGGGTGGTATTAGTCAAGCTTACTCTCTTACATACTCTTTCTCTTTCCTATTTCCGTCACTCTCTCTCTCTCTCTCTCTCTCTCTCTCTCTCTCTCTTTCTCTCTTTCTCTCTTTCTTTCTTTCTTTCTACACATGCAGCCTTATTCTCAGCTCGAATGCAGCATTGAGTCGTCTTCTCTCTCGTATTGAAATGCTAAGCTGACCGAGCAAACGAACAAGAAAGATAAAGAGAGAAGAAACCTTATGTCTCTTCTTCTTCTTCTTCTTCTTCTACTTCTTCTTCTTCTTCTTCTGTATGCTTACAAGTACTAGTGCGTGCGACGAGACACGAGACGATCCAATCTCTTCTCTCACTTTCTCTCTTTCTCTCTCTCTTCACAGAAGAGAGGACAGGTAGGCGCATAGGTGTTGCAGGACAACAGGTAGAACATTAGTCAAGTGCCTCGTTGCTGGCCGTCCTCTTTTACAACGGCTCTTAAGTCGCTCTCGAAACTTTTTCCTTTCCTTTTTTTTTCACCAATAATTTTCATTTAGTTGAAAACATTTGTAAGGAATAATTTCAAATCGTCAAATCGTTTTCTCTCCAATCGTTTGTATTTTTACGGTCGCTAGAGTTGAACGTTTCTTAAATATACCTACCCCCGTTTCAAATATCTCCAATTTATTTCTAAAGTTTCGAGAAATCGATAAAGTTATGTAGAGTTTAATGAATAAGATGACACACATAAATGTAATCGGTTGAAAATCATTTTTAAAAAATTGTCCATGATCGTTTAACGTGAATCGATTTATCGTAAAAGGGTTATAACAACGACTTGCTATAAGCTGTCAGTTGTTATTACGATCGGAGTCGTAAGATCTTTAGACCATGTCTCTATTCGTCCTCCCACCTTTAGCGGACAGCTTGGGTGAGCCAACAAAAGGGTGAAAATCCCCGTGGTTCTCACATGAAACTAAACCTCAATGGGGGATCTTAAAATATGAACGATATTTTTCCGACTTTGAAGATCGTATCGATCTTTTAAAACGCTTTCTTCAAATTATTTACACTAAAATATATATATCGGAAGAGAATCTTACCATTCAATTTCTTATCGATAAACTTATCGATACTTTTTACGCACGTTCAAGGAATTTCTCAAGAAACTGTCTCGAATCGCGGGAATAACCTTTTTGTCAGTTAGGAATGCGGCTATACCAAAGAGAGTTTTTTTAACTACTGCGTAGTTCGTTCTCAGGCTTCGGTGTTAAAAAGTAATGATCACGATTTTAACCCTGTGATAGAGGGTACAGTTCTTCAGTTTTTGTTCAAATACTCTTTTCTTTGAGTAGATAAAACAAAAATGATAATCTACAGACCGTTTTCTGATGAGGAATCAGAACACAAACGTATAAGTACAGATATACATATCTATAGGTATCAACTAGAACATCTTTTTCCAATGCTGTATTATATAATTTTAATAAAATCAATTATTAATCTAATAATTATCTTTGTAAATGTGTGAGGAAAGGAAATCACCACATGTCGTCTGTTCCTTTCGTTTCTTTCTTTTTATTTCGTTTTCTCTCAGAATGGTAAACGATACGTTCGATAATAGGACAGCAATGAAGTAGCTCCAACGATAATCCAAATAGATGAATTATTCAGACGTAAAGTGCAAGAGTAAATTTGCCGTCTGTCTTCGTTCCGAAGAGAATCGAAACACTGACCGGTTGGACCAACGGGTGACCTCACCTTATACGGATTTAGTTTTCCAGCGCTCTCCAGGATGATAAATTATTCATACCGCTGGTGGTTTATTCTCTCAAAAATTGCTGACCTGTCACCTCTTTTAGCAGCTACGAAAAAACTTGAAAGTATGATATATATATATATATATATATATATACATATACCTAACTGTATCTTGATACTTTCGTATGTCAAGATTCGCTAGTTTTATTAGCTAGTGAAAATATATTTTTAAGCTCGTCTATCAATTAACACGGGAAGCTAATATTCTTTCTCTTTTTTTTTTCCAAAAGACTTTTTTTAATTTTGGGTTAATTGTTTGATTTAATCGCTTTGAGAGAGACTGCACAATGAAAAAATAAAGCAAAGTGAAGGATTAATACTTTGCTCATATGTGGACGCTTTAAAATAGAATTTCCATAGTAAATCGTTAATTTACTATTTCAAGGATATTTTGGATCGAGCACACAGGATACACTCGTTGATAAGTCTTGACGTCGATTAATTCGATCCTAGTGACTTGGTACGTTTAACAGGAAATTCGATTTCCTGAATAATATTTCTTTCTCTATGGTAACGGATATAATAATGACAATTATACGATGCTTCAAGGGAGAGTGACAGTAAATTGATAGAAAAAATTTAGAGGGTAAAAATTTGGTTTTTTTCTCTAATAACAAAAATCCCATACGAAAATGTTGACCTACATTTTAATATTCCATTCGATCGATATCGTATTTAACTTTTATATAAATTGTAATATATTTATTTGTTTTCGTGTATTTTTTTTCTTTGTTTTTTTTTTTTTGTTAATATAAATTTAATACGATTTGATTAATTTTGTCGCAGCGATCATTTGAAAATCCACATGAAAACTCACGACACACAAAAGCCATACCAGTGTACGGCATGTTCAAGAGGATACAATACAGCAGCTGCATTGACTTCTCACATGCAATCGCATAAAAAACATCACCAAGGAACGAGTCATAATAGCAACAAGCTCCAAGATTCGGATTATGGTAGAAGAAGCGTCTCTTCTCACAGTACTTCTTCTCCACCGGTACCAAGTTCACCTTCGCCTTCCTTAAACTTAAGTTTAAATCAGAAAAATACTTTGAAGACACCACTAGGAACTTCTTGTAGCGCCTCGACAACGCCGATACTAAGTTCCCCTTTGAAATTGGCTTGTATGTATTGCACAAGAGATTCCTTTAGTTGTATGCAACAACTACAAATGCACGTGCACACGATGCACCAAGCAATTCTAAGCGGAGAAAATCTTGTGGTAGCACCATCACCAAATAGAACGACCGATTCGGTTGTTGATTGTTCTCGTGATAAAACATTGGATCGACCTGATAATATTTCCAAGGATCAAGAGAAAAAATATGACGAAAGATCGTTGGAAAAGGATTATAAAAATACTTTTACTTGTTGCCAATGTACCATGAAATTTTCGAGTTTAGCTACGTTAAGAGACCATTTGATTTCTATACATAGAACCGATGCTTTTGGCACGTCATTGATAATGTGTCCTCTTTGTGGTCTACCGTGTAGCTCTGCAGCAGCTTACGCTGAACATTACGTTCTTCAACATTGTGAGAATCGTCAAATAGCTCCACAAAATCCTCAAGAATATATAAATCCAAAATTGAATGGAATTTACGATACGAAAAGTATGATATTACAAAAGAATAGAGAACAACCTTTGATAGAACCAGCAGATCTTACTAGCAAACATGTTAAATCATCTGAGAGCAGTTACACGTCTAGTACACTCCTTTGTGGTCAATGTGGTGCAGCTTTGAAGGATTTCGAATCTTTTCGAGAACACGTTGCTAGACACTTGCAAGCTGATCAACGAAACGAAATAACAAGATATCTCTGTCCTAAATGTGATACGAGTTTTCAAGATAGAGAAGATATGTTAGCACATTTAACGAAGCATTTTTTGGGTCAAATTAGTAAAGAATACGCTTGCTCTGCTTGCAAGAAACTGTATCCGCATCCAGATTTACTTCAAAGGCATCTTTTAGATAGTCATGCTAATCATCTTTACAGATGTGCACTTTGCAGAGATACCTTTGATTCTAGAGTAGCGATTCAAGTACATTTTGCTGTTAAGCATAGTCAAGAATGTAGAATATACAGATGTAATGCTTGTACAATACCAAATAATGAAAATTCATCTGGAAGTGCACCCGGTGAAGGTCGAATATTCTTCAGAAGCGAAAGCGAGATGGCTAATCATGTTAGAAACGTTCATGCGCCACCAGCCGTGGTGAACAATAGTCCAGTTGCTACAAGTCCAGCTTCTACGCCAGGAATGACAGTCAATTCTGGACCGAGATGTGTCTTTTGCGGAATCTACTGTAGCTCCGAACTGGAATTACAGCTTCATTTGGCAAGCCATTCGACTAGTCTTTATAGATGTCCCATTTGCAGAGAAGGCTTTGCTGTTGAATTTTTATTGGACAGACATATTACTCAAGTACATCATACTGGCGAACATCAATTAAATGTTCGAAATAATTCACGAGAAAATGGACGGCTACATCGACAGACTAGATCTCAAGAAGAAGTGAGTGAACTTTTGTTAAATGAAAGATATCTTTTTTTATTTATCATAAATGCATCTCATATATTATTTATTACAGGTCAAATCGCAGAAGAGAGGACGTTCGCCAGCGTCGAGTAACAACAACTCTTTGAATCAACGTGACAATAACAACAAAAGGCCAAACTTCGGTGTATCGGGAGGACAACAATGTGAGCTATGCGAGCGTGGTGAATTCGCAAATGAAGCTGAACTGCAAGCTCACAAAAAGTTAGCTCACCCATCTTCGAAAGTTCCAAGCAAAAGTTCTTTATCAAGTCTGAGCATGACTTGTGCTTATTGCGGGGAAGTCTGTCGATCAAGAAACGAACTGGAATCTCATATGAGAATGCAACATACTTCGACCGAGCATGGTGGTCGACATAAGTGTAATATCTGTGACGAAGTCTGTCCTTCGGGCGCTATTTTAGCTGAGCACAAGCTTCAGAAACATTGTAAGATTCAACTAAGCGATACTTGTGTCGTTTGTCGTGGAAATTTATCAAACGAAACATTATTCCTTGAACATGTACAAAGACACAGCTTAGAAAATGTAGATCCTCAACAAAGGCTGGATAATTCTTTGCCTCATCTTCCAGCACCATGCGTTGTTTGTAGACAAACTCTTATCAGCGACTTGGAATGTCGTCTTCATGCTCGTCATCATCTTAGAACATCCACTAGTTCGCCAAATACAAGTTCCAGTCCAAGTCCTAAACAAAAACTAATCAATCCAAGTTGTTGCCTTTGCTTACGAGAATTCTCTACCGAAGATTTTGTCACTCTTCCTCCCAATCACATAAGTGGAGGACAATCCCTTAAAGTCTGCAAATCTTGTTATGTGAGGTATTCCCAAGGTCTACCAATTCTAAGTTCACCTTATGAACATGTTCGTAATGCTAAGTGCGAACGTTCTTGGATCCCTAATAAGGATCTTCAATGGGATGGTTCCAAAGATAGATGGGATTCTGATCGTAATTTTAAAACTGAAAATCGTTTGATTAATGATCCGAATGGCGATACTAAAAGGTGTGAAGAATGCGGAGTGAAATTTGAAAATTCTGAAGAAGCAAAAAAACACAAAATAACTTTACACAATAAAACACATGATAATGAATCCAATACGTACACGTGCATACAATGTCAGGTAATTATATTGATACAGAAAATAAATTTCTATTAGAATTATTGAAATTATACTATTTTTGTATTATATTTGTAGATGTCATTTCCAAGTGAAGCTATGATACAACAACACGTAACTAAAGAACATTTAGAAGTATCAGGAAAAGGAACTGTTGATACTTTGAGATGTCATCTGTGTCTGTTCGAAGCAAATAGTCCTCTCCAACTACAGAGCCACTTGATAGAGCATACATTTGCCGGATGTGCTGCTCTTAATTGTTATATCTGTCAAGCTCTTTTCACCGTGCCTATTGCCCTGCAGGTATATATTATGTAGTATAGTAATAAAACTTTTTAATCATTAAACCTAATAATTATTATAAACTAATTAAAATTACTTGGGTTTATTTTGCTCGATGAGTTAATAATAACAGTATTATTAAACTATTTTTTACTTGCAGAATCATATGTTGCAAGAACATGGTTTGAATGCACGACCTTACGATTGTTCTAAATGTACCTCAAAGTTCTTTTTCAAAGCTGAATTAGATCATCACATAATAACGTTCCATCGTATCGAAGAAAATTCTACAGTATCTGAAACAGTGAAAGAAATGGCAGGAGAAACGAAAAATCCAATTAATAATGAGGATCGTAAATTCGATGATAATATTACGATAAAAGAAGAATTATTACAAGAAACTGAGGAAGAGGAAGAAGAAGAAGCAGCGGAAGAAGAAGAAGAAGAAGAAGGAGATGAAGAGGAAGAAGAAGAAGAAGACGAAGAAGTTAACGTGGATGGACAATTTGAACAAGAGAAGTTGGCTAAAAAAGAATTAGCGCAAAAAAAAATGATTTTAAAAACCGAAGTCAATAAACAGATGGAATCTGAAAAAGTAGATACGTGATTATTTAAATTAAAGGATAAAATTTGTTTAAAAAAAGAATAATGATTACAGCAAGAAGACAAAGTTTTGTTATATTTCGTTTCTCCTTCTTTTTTATTACGAATGCGTGTCCATTATTATCATTTTGCTAAACCTAATAATAAATAGATAACATTCCTTTTTTTCTATAATATTTCTCATGTATTTGAAAAAATCTATTTACAAGAAATATACTGTTGCTAAAAGATTGTAACGTTTGCAAAACTTTAGATATCTTGTTATTATTAAGATAATCATATATAAACTTTATATGATGAGAAATTTAATTTTGTTTTACAAATATATATCTTTGTATATATATATACTTATGATATTATATACCGTGTGAGTATCTTCTGAGAAAAATCTTCTCACCTAAGTCGTTACGTTTAATATTAATGTTACATTACTTGTAATACAAGGCTTACATAAATTTTACGTTAGATTTGGGAATATATAATTATTATGTTAAGTTTAAAAATACTCGTGTTAACGATTGTAACACTAATTAATTGTTATTATCAATGCTTTATTAAAATGATTTTGTTGTTGTTGCTTTCATTCTAATTTACATACAAATATTAATTGTATATTAATAGAAAATACTATTATTAATCTACACAAAACACACAAATCAGCTGTAATATAAAATACATCTCATGTTTCTCTGCTAAAATCGAAAATTCTATAGTAGAGAAAGTTTATGTCACAACGATAACATAATCTGTATATAGGCATATAATATTAGTAGCAAAAATATTAAAAAAAAAAAACTCTTTCAATTATTAACTATTAAGAAAATGCAATAACCTGTCCAATAAACTTAAAAAATACAATAAGATAGATCAATTGCAACAATAAATTATTGTTTTCAATCTTATCTACCACAATAAATATTAATTCAACCATTTATTATCATTTTCTTTAATTAATATATTTAAAAAATCTATTATATTTTTTTTTGTTTAATGAATTTTTGTACTTTATTCATATTATCAGTGATACAATATAAGATCTTCTCTCACACAAACTTATATAAATAATTAATGTCGTAGAACATTATCCGAAGATGGTAAGGAAGAAAACTATATATCGATCGAATATTCCATAGAGTAAAAAAAGTAGTAATAAAAATGTTCATTACGTATCTTATCTATGTTGTTCATAGTGTATGTTTAAAAGGAAAAACGATACATATTATTTTTTTAAATGAGTGCTTTAACCTCAAACACCCATTTATTTGACATGACGTTTTAATACATGACATCATATCCTAATGACTAATTGAATTGTGATTATCTATAATTTTCTACTTTATTATGCAAAGAACTTAAAATTAAAGTAAGTTGTTTACGTTTATATCTCCAAACAAAGTAATTAAGCGTTTTTTTAATTATTTTCAAAACTTTAGTGCCAATTGAGTCTCATAAACATTATGTTTATTATTTGATAAAGTAAAATGTGCATTTATTTACTATTTTTTCTTAGTGTAATTTAATTTATTATATGTCTTCTACGTATAATAATGCAGCATATTTAATAATTTTCCTTATTATCTTGGAAGAAAACTTGCAACATGATTGCACCAGAGATTGGTTCTACAAATTCTGAATCTGTACACATAAGAATTGCAACTGAAAAAGCACCATTGATTAATGGAAGAAGTGTATTTCGAAGACTCAGTAAAATATTTAAAATTGGTAAAACAGAACGTACTGATGGAGATGGATATGTGGAATTTGGTAGTCTTAGTGTTGACAGTACGCGTACACTTGGTACTTTTGCTGGCGTATTCAGTCCTGTCACCCTATCCATGTTCAGTGCCTTAGTTTTCTTACGCATGGGTAAGATTAAAATATTCATATTTTCTATTTAAATAATGAACGCATATCTTTCATACTATTAGTTGAAATTCCGCATATTAGAAATTAAGTTTTGTACATCGTTGTAATATAATATATATTGCAGGTTACATCGTTGGAAATGCAGGATTACTTGTAACTTTAGTACAATTTATAATTGCCTATGGAATTCTATTATTTACAGTTGCATCTGTTTGCGCTATATCAACAAATGGAGCTGTCGAAGGAGGTGGCGCTTATTGTATCCTTATATAATATATGATAAAAAAAGTTCTTTAATTGTCCATATTTTTAGATAAACATATATTTTTCTAAATGATTTAATACATTATATAGTTATGATCAGTCGTACACTAGGACCTGAATTTGGTGGTTCCATTGGTACATTATTTTTCATGGCAAATATTGTATCGAGTGCACTTTGCGTTTCTGGTTGCGCTGAAGGTTTGATAGAAAATTTTGGCCCTTCCGGATATCTAGTTGGAAAAAATGCATTAATACCGAATGGTCGATGGTGGCAATTTCTCTATTGTTCTTTATTAAATACAGCCAATCTTCTGGTTTGTCTAATTGGAGCTGCTATGTTTGCAAAAACTAGCGTTGCCATTCTAGCAGTCGTTTGCATTTGTCTTGGAAGTGTGTTTGTAAGTTTTTTAGTAGGAGGACCTATGGAGGTAAGATTAATAATATAATTATAATTATACCATTAATGATAATTACAGATTTTTGTACTCGAATAATATGAAAAATAAAAATAATAAAACATTTTCAGATACCAATTCCAGATGTAAACACATTAGTACAAAATGCTACGGAACACGTCAATGGATCATACACAGGACTTCTGTCTTCCACTCTTGCAAGTAATTTATATTCAAATTATAGCGCTGATTACACAAGTACGGATACAATGACTGATTTTGCCAGTGTATTTGGTGTACTCTTCAGTGGTGTAACAGGCATTATGGCAGGAGCAAATATGAGTGGTAAATATTGTTGAAGTTTCTTATATTATAATTATTTGATCTATTTAATAATTACTTAAATATTTATTTTCAGGCGAACTCAAAAACCCTGGAACAAATATTCCCCGTGGAACATTATCAGCAGTATTATTTACTTTTCTATGTTATATATTATTGTCTATTTTAACAGCTGCAACTACAAGTCGTTTTTTACTACAAAATAATTTTATATATATGATGCCAATAAATATTTGGCCACCGTTCGTAGCTGTTGGTATATTGACGGCAACATTTAGTGCTGGTTTAAGTAACTTAATTGGCTCAAGTAGAGTATTAGAAGCATTAGCAAAAGATAATGTTTTTGGTAAGTGATCAAGATATATACTTTATAAAGAGATTAAGAAACTTAGACATTATTCTTGCTTCTATTTGTTATTTAGGTTCAGGATTAAATTTTATCATACAAGGTACATGGCATGGAAATCCGATAGCTGCTGTATTAACATCGTGGACTCTCGTCCAAATAATTTTACTTGTCGGTTCCTTAAATACAATAGCTCAAATTAATTCGGTATTGTTTCTTTTGAGCTATTTGGCAACAAATTTAGCCTGTCTTGGACTTGAACTTGCAAGTGCACCAAATTTTAGGTAAGCTTTTTGCATTCCTATCCATTACATTTATATATATATATATATATATATCTATATAAAATATATATAGATAAAATATATATATATCTATGTAAAAATAATAATATACAATTTTATAATGAACTTAATTTATATTTAATGTAATTGCAGACCAACATTTAATTATTTTACATGGCACACTGCAACAATAGGTCTTCTTGGAACATTAATTATGATGTTTGTAATAAACAGTATATATGCATCAAGCAGTATAATATTATGTTTAATTTTAATAATAGTACTGCACTTATTTTCTCCGAGTAAAAATGCACCATGGGGTAGTATATCGCAAGCATTAATATTTCATCAAGTGAGAAAATATTTATTAATGTTAGACTCCCGTAAAGATCATGTTAAATTTTGGAGACCACAAATGCTTTTGATGGTTGCCTCGCCAAGATCTGCTTGTCCTCTTATAGATTTTGTAAATGATCTGAAGAAAGGAGGATTATATGTTATAGGACATGTAAAGATAGGTGAATTTACTGGACAGAATATTGATCCAACGATAGAAGAATATCCTCACTGGTTGAGTTTAGTCGATCATATGAAAGTGAAAGCATTTGTAGAGCTGACAATTACAAAAACAATTCGCGAAGGATTACATCATTTAATAAGAATATCTGGAATGGGTGCGATGAAACCAAATACAATTATTCTTGGCTTTTATGACAAAGAACCACCAAGAAATTTCTTCACCGATTCTCAATATTCAACGACAGTATTTGATAATACTAGTGAAAGCGTTGGAGTTTCTAATAATGTTATTTTTCCACTGAGGCAAGCAGGTACAGAAAATAATTTGGATCCGATACAATATGTTGGAATGTGTTCAGATGTCTTAAGAATGAAAAAGAATTTATGTTTGTGCAGAAATTTCCATTTGCTTGATAAATCACAAATTTCGAAGTAAGCTATTTTTATAAATAAATATATCATATTATACACATGATATATAATATCGTATAATTTTGCAGGAATTCAAATTTAAAATACATTGATGTATGGCCAGTGAATTTCTTCCAACCATCTGATCAAGATCCATTTGATACAACTTCATTATTTATGCTTCAACTCGCATGCATTATAAATATGGTTCCGGTTTGGAAAAATTTACATCTTCGTGTATTCCATTGCGAAATTGCAGACAGCAGTACAAGTTTAAGCATTTCAGAATCGCAAAGTTCTATTAGTGAATTTCCCAAGGTTTCAAACGAACATAAAATCAAGAAATTATTAAATGTTTTGAGAATTTCTGCATCGATTAAAAAAATTCCTAATTGGGGAACACAAGTAAGCGATTTAAAGGGCAAATCTCTTTTCGAACCAAAATTGGATACCCAGTATGAATCAGGCAGTGAAAATATGGATAATACTTTAAGTAGTGTCTCAAGAACTTATATATTCAGGTAATTATACCCGACATATTATTTCCTTTGATATGATATTTAAGATTTTTCAATACTTTTCTATAAATTGCAGGGTTAATCAGTTAATCAAGCAACATTCCAGTCAAACTGCAACTTCTTTTATATATCTACCAGCACCACCTGTATCAAATACATGGAATGAGGATATTATGTATCGACAATATCTTCAATTATTAACAGAATTGACTGTGGATTTACCACCGATAGTTTTAGTACATGGCGTTAGTGCTGTCACATCAACAACTTTGTAATAATATTAAAACATAAAAAGAATCTATTGAATATCATTTTGCTTTGATAAATAATAGTATCAGTTTATAATTATATGTATGTGTGCATGTATATACATATATATATGTATATATAATCTTATATATATGTATACGTATGTGTATATGTATTCATGTTTTAAATTATTCTAATAACTACATTGTAATTTAATTGATTGATTGGTTATAACTAATGCACAAAGCTCTGAACAATATTGAGATTATTTCATGTCAAAGTATTCAATAATATAAAAATCATTTTATTTAAATAATAATAATAATACGATATCATTAAGCAATAAGTATCTATTTTCTAAGCTTTATGAATATACTAATAATATTCTTTACATTCTAAACTCAATTTTAATTTACTAAAATCATGTGACTTACATTACTGTGATAAATTTATTCTATACAGTATTTTCCAAATAAGAATATTTTTGAATTTGTAAAACATACATTTATTAAAGATTAATATTGTATCTATCTTAATATATTTCATATAAAAAAATCTGTGGGCCTATATATTATACTGTGGATATCTTTAATATATATAAATTACGTGTCACGTTTTTTGTCCGCAATGGACTTCTAAACTAATAACTGATTTTAATAAAATTTTGCACACTGTGTGCAATTTCATCCAACTTGAAAGATAGGATAGTTTATATCTCAATTTATAATCGCAATATTATTTTATTGCGAATTATTTGTTTATTAACAAAGAGTCATGATTATCTCTATTAGTTCGATAAGATTCTAACAGATGGCGGTATAAGGTAATTCGTTGTAGAGAGTTTCTCTATAGTAAAGATAATATTAGACTGAATTTTATTTTATGATTTTTATTTAAAGGATGCGACTTGCTTTTCTTTCTTGTACACTTCTCAACGGCTACGTACAGACTGTTCTAGTCTAGTGACCACTACTTGTTAGCGTGGTTCTCTAGCCTTCTAGTAACTTTAGAGGGCGCGACCTTCGGTCGTACAGCTACATCGTTGACTTAAAGAGACATGTGTATCGGACTGATAGTAAGCCACAGCAACGCGTGGCGGGGTACTCCTAGTATATATATATATATATTAGGTAGGTCAAAAAAATGACCTTTTTTTTAAATTATTTATTGATTGTACAGTAAAATGTTCTAGAAGAATTTTGTAGGAAATTTAATTCTCTATAAAAAAGGTATCTTATATTTTTTCCGTAAACCTCACCATTTG